TATGCGGACACCCAAGAGGGCTTCCTGAGAACTCACCATAAAAGAAGGAGACAGGCAGAGTGGGCTGGGCTTTGCAAGGGCCTCATACCAGAGAGGCTAGTGGCTGTGATCTGATGAGGGAGCTCATCCTGACTGAGACCCCCTCCCAAATGCGTGCACTCCTGGGGAACTAAAAATGGTCTGACATGAAACACTGTCACAGCAATCCTGCTGTGAAGCCTCCTTGCTAAGCATGTCCTCACTTCCATAACTGATGACAGATTCTGGAGCCTGATTGCTGGGTTCTGGCTCTGACACTGCCACTTCCAAGCTGGATGACTTAGGGTAAGTTATTCAACCTCTCTGTGCCTCACCTTTTTCACCTGTAACCTGGTTTATTTTAATGATTAGGTGAATTAAAATATATGAAGTAGGACTCCCCTGGTGGCACAGTGGTTAAGAATACGCCTGCCAATGCAGGGGACAAGGGTTCAAGCCCTGGTCCAGGAAGATCCCACATGCCGCGGAGCAACTAAGCCCATGTGCCACAACTACTGAGCCTGTGCTCTACCGCCCGCAAACCACAATTACCAAGCCTGCGTGCCGCAACTACTGAAGCCCGCGCGCCTAGAGCCCATGCTCTGCAACGAGAGAAGCCACTGCAACAAGAAGCCCACGCACCACAACGAAGAGTAGCCCCTGCTCGCCACAACTAGAGAAAGCCCACGCACAGCAACCAAGACCAAGCGCAGCCAAAAAATATAAATTTATTAAAAATATATATATATATATGAAGTGTTTGAACAGTGTCTGGCACATAGTAAACATTAAATAAATTAGCTCCCACCACCACCCCTTCTCTCTCTCACCAAGTGATTGAGGCCTGTGACTGACAGACCCAGACCACACTCTAGTCAAGCTCCTCTGATCTGTTGCACCTGATACCTGGATATGTAATCTGGGCATGGACTCCTGTCTTTGCATCACAGCATCACTTCTACCTTCGAGATTTCAGAAGCTATCAGGGCCCTGCAGAGTTACCCAGCCTGACCCCTTAATTTTTGCAGATGAAGAAACTGATGCCCAGAGAGGAGTCCTGGAGGAAAAGTGAAAACAGCGAGAGTGTGTCATGGTGGGGGGGATTCCTTCCAGAGAGGGAGCAGCATGCAAAAAGGAACCTGGGGAGAGGGTACAGTGGGGACTGTCCTTTTTCTACTGCTCTGATCCCAACTCTGTGAGCCTGGATAGTGGAATTACCTTGAGAACAGAGGAGAAAGGACCCATGCCTTGGAGAACTCTCACTGCCTGTGGTCATTTGGAGAATTCCCAGGCTACTTCTAGAGCAGCCACAGATCTTAGCCTCCCTCAGAACTCTGAGCAAGGATCTCCAGGGCTCAGAGTGTGGGCACCAGGCTGATTTACTAATCCAGTGCACTCCTGTCAGTCCTTCTCTCTCTAGGGGGAGAACATAAAGTGATGGCGCCTCCTTACCTTTGAAATGCATCTTCTCACTCTCCGAAGCAATGTCCTCAGTGTCATCACTGTACAACTATGATTAGAAGCCAAGCTTGATTAGACATCCATGTCTACCTTCTAATAAAGGATGGAGCTTATCTATCAGTGAAAAGTTAGCACATTTCTGGTCCTGCTTAAGGACCTTAAAATTCCTTTCACCCCCATATATCTACCAACTCCATCAGCAATGTTCTTCCCAATCGCTCTTCTCTCCTGCTATAATTTCGGGTCCAGGGAAGGTTGGAGGCAAATATATTAACTGTATATTCCCAACCTGTCTATCATAACCTGTAGTCTCTTGTTCATCTTTCTGTTATGGGGACAACCCTTACTGACTATTTTTTTTCTTCCCACCACTACCTTAGGTTACCCGGTCTTCTATTAATTTCCACTTTTATTTTTAGCTTCTAGCATTAGGCCTTTCCAGGGATCCTAAACATCTAAAATGTTCAGTTCTCAGAGATCGCTGAAGAGTGAGAAGAGATCTTAACTCAGTTCTACAAATATTTCTTGAGTGTCTGATCTATGATGGAATCATGGGGCAGTTGACACATGGGGATAAATTAATCCTGGTTGCTTTCTTTAAGGATCTTCCGATCTGGTGGGCACATAGGCACTTAACTTATGGGGAGGCTCTCCTTAGAATGTTTTAGTTGTCTGGGCAAGAGAATGGTACATAGAAGGTGAGACAAGATGGCTCTTTTTTTAAAAAGGGAAGGGGGAAAAAAGGGTTTGATCCTACCAAACATGCCATACATTGATAAGCTTATTCAAGCTTTTGTGCATGAGAAAGGACTTGCCTCAGGGCCACCATCGTGGACATCTGTAGTGTGGTTAGCCCAGCACAACTTTTCTCTTGGGAACTGTCTCCTCCATCCACATGGCTACCCACGGAACCATTGTTCTTACATAATCCTACCCTCAGCCATAACTGGTCCAGGTGTGGGTACCTGTTTGAAGATGGGTCAATAAAACCCTTTCTCATCATTTTTTTCTTATTTGAATTGAGAAACCAGTCATTCTCTTTTGAATGGTGAAAACTATAAATGTAAAGCTCAGGAAATGTTTGCAGCCATGTTCCCCAACATGAAGAGAAGGAAGGTGGTTGGAGTGAAGAAAGAATAAATAAGAAGCTGAGGCAAAAGATATAGAGACTTATGTTAGAATTTCAGAGCCTAGTTCCAGTTATTCCTGAGACATCCTTACTCTTTTTGCAAATTAGTTCTTCAGCCCTTTATTGAATTTTGTTACCCAATACAGTCTTCTTTATGTTTAATCTATTTCAAGTTGGATTTCTGTCACTTCCAAACAAAGAGATTCAAATAAAAAATAGGTATAAGGTATGCAGAGATGCAAACAGCAGACCCTAAAAAGGGAACCGGCCTTGTTGATATAGGGTGGGATGCAGTGAGAATCCCTCCATTCTGAGCCTGGAAATGAGATGTCCTTGTTAGGTGATAATGAAGTAACTGGGAAAACTACTGCATGTTGTCTCTTAGAACTTGACCTCAACTTTCCCCATTGCCCTGTGGTTGTAACTGCAGAGGATTAAGCAGAAAAGTGGTAAAATAATTCACATCTGGCAACCTTGGGAAGGGGTTTAAGAGGGGACAAGCAGATGAGGAACAGCATGACAATTTGTAACTCTGGTAAGGAAGCCTCTGCCCACGGCCAGCAATCTGAGGCTGCCGCAGGAAGATAGCCATGTGATCTGCAGATTGGTTATAGCCAAGTTCTCTGCCACACTCTAGAGTGAATGCATTGATTAGGAAACATTGACTGTTTGACAGGTGATAATGGGAATATTTGGGAAGATCTAGAGAAATTAGGGAAGTGTGATCCTCTCAGTCCTTCTTCGCACCCTGGCCTGAGAGTAGGGAAAAGTAGGCATTTTTTTTGACATCTGGCATCTGAAACCACTTCCTATGTTAGGGGAATTCCCTACCTAATAGATGCCAGATACTCTCTGAACTTCCCTTAAAACCAGAGTGCAGACACCTGACCTATTCTCAGCCAAGCATGTACCTTGATCACAGCCTAAGCTAATGACTCTGTATCTAAGGGAGTGAGCACTCAGTGACCATAAGAATTCTCTCCAGGGGAAATGGCTTTACAGCAAGATCTAGTTCTAGGTGCAGCATGGCCCCGACATAGCTTGTTTTGGGCAGCATTGAGGGTTCAGTGCCAACCATGCCAGCTGTGCAAGGGGCAGTGGTGATGGGGCTGTCCTCATGGAGACAAAAATGCAGCTTAATTTAGGGCATTGTTTCTAGTTGTGTGGCTCTGTATTTGGTCCTCCAGTCATTTCAGCAATCCCCTGAGATATGTTTTATAAATGTAATATGTTTAACATAAAATTTTTTTTTGCTTAAATAAGATGAAGTTAGTTTCTGTTGCTTGTAACTAATGACTGATTGATAAAGAAATTGGTACTAGATTGGCTGAGGGCATCAGACTCTCAGGGTACTAGTTGGAATCTGGGAATAGTTGTGTGGTTTTGTTGGGACTAGAGGTAGTGGAAATCCAGAGATGGAGTGGCATTCAGGGGCAAAACAGCTCATCAGTTTATTACTAGTGGCACCTGGAATGAAGTGTCCATTGAGAGCACAGACTTGGGGGACTGTCAGAGATCAGTATAAAGAGAATGAGGAATGCAAGGATTGTGAGGAGGTGTGGAAAGCTTAAAGAGATTGAAAAATGTAAAAATCAAACTCAAAGATTGCTCCTGTGTGAGAGTTTGAGTATTGTTTGGAAGAGGGACATGGGTTGGTGATAAATGAGAGGATGTGTATGGCTAAGAGAGCCCTGAGTCCTCTATGAGTTAGGGTTATGTTGGGTGAACATAAGGGAAAATCCAAAATAACAATAGTGTAAACAAGATAACAGATTATTTCTTCTTCACTTAAAGTAAGTCTGAAGGTAAGGAGTCCGGTGTTGGTATGGCTGCTGAGTGCACATCAGGGACTCATATTCCTTCTTCCTTTCTGTTTCCTAGAGTATGATTTCTAACCTCAAAGTTACTTCATGTTCTAAGATGGCTGCAGGAATTCCAGTCATCACATCCACATTCCAGGCGGCAAGAATGAGGAAGAAGGAAAACAAAAGGTACATTTCTTAGTGAGATATCTCCCTAAAGAACGTTCCAGAAGTTCCATGCAACACTTCTGCTTACTTCTTTTCTGCCTGAACTCAGTCATATGGTCACATCAGACTTAATGAGAGATTAGAAACGGCATGATTTTAGCTGGGCATGTTAGTATCCCAAATAAAATAGAGTCTCTGTTGCTGAGGAATAAGGAGAGAATGGATATTAGGCAAGTGTATTAGTTATCCATTGCTGCATAACAAATTACCCCAAACTTACTAGCTTAAAACAACACACACTGGGCTTCCCTGGTGGCGCAGTGGTTGAGAGTCCGCCTGCCGATGCAGGGGACACGGGTTCGTGCCCTGGTCCAGGAGGATCCCACATGCCGCGGAGCGGCTAGGCCCGTGAGCCATGGCCGCTGAGCCTGCGCGTCCGGAGCCTGTGCTCTGCAACAGGAGAGGCCACAACAGTGAGAGGCCCGCGTACCGCAAAGCAAAAAACAAAAAACAAAAAACCCCCAAAGAAACCACATACTTATAAAGTCACAGTTTCTGTGGGTAAGAAATCTGGGTGTGGCTAAGCTGAGTCTTCTGCTTCAAGGGCCTCGCCCAAGGATGCAATCGAGGTGCTAGTTCTGCAGTCTCAAATGAAGGCTTGACTAAGGAATGATTTCTCCCAAGCTCACTCACATGGTTGTTGCCAGGACTCAGTTCCTCCAGGGCTGTTAGTCTGAAAGGCTCAGTCCTTATCAGATGTTTGCCAGTGGTTACCCTCATTCCCTTGGCCTATGGGCCTCTCCATCAGGGCAAGCATGTAGGAACAGCCAGAGAGAATGCCAGCAAGACTGAAGTCAGCCTTTTATAACCTATCCTTGGAAATGACATTCTGTCACTTTTGCCATTTCTATTCCTTAGAAGCAAGTTACTATGTCTTCCTGCTCACACCCAGGGAGAGGGGATTACACAGGGCATGAGCATCAGGAGGCAGGGATCTCTGGGAGTCATGTCAGAAGCTGTCTACCACAGCAGGCAATTGGTGATCTCTCTTACAACCCCAACCTACCACTGAAAATAGCCAGAGATTATAGCACCCTCTCCCTGTCCAATGGGGTTGCTTCCCTCTGGTGTGAAGACTATATGTAGACTTCCCATGGGGAATTAGGTGGCAAGAGGAAGCCAAGTCTCCTCATGCCCCATCCCTCTGACTTAATTGTCTCCATACTCATTATCAAAAATCAGACCCCAACATGCATCAGGGTCAAATAGGAGCTCAAATTCACAAGAAGGCCTTCTCACTAAAAGAATTACAAGATTTTTCAAATTTATGTCAATAAAATTTGGCAAATATATGTGGGAATGGATTCTGAGGGTTCAGGACTAAGGAGCAGGAACATAATTTAAAATTAGGATGAAATGACCAATATGAGTGCACTTACCAGAGAGCCTGGATTCCATGTGCCGATTTTAAGAGCTGGGAGTTCTAATCACCTTTTTGTACAAAAGAGATGAGTTTATTTTTTCTTAGAGTCTAACATCTTATTATATTCACTTGATCACATATCCACCCATCTATGCATTTTTCTGTCAATTCATTGTATTTTTTTTCAGATTATTTTTTTAATTAATAGATTTTAGTATTTAGGACAATTTTGGATTAACATAGAAAATGAGCAGATAATAGAGAAAGTTCTCATATACTCCCATCCCCCACCCTAGTTTCTCCTATTATCAACATCTTACATTAGTGTTGTATATCTGTTAGTATTAATGAACCAGTATTGATATATTATTATTAACTAAAGTCCATAGTTTACATTAAGGTTTACTCTGTGTTATATGTTTCTATAGTTTTTGACAAATACATAATGTCTTTATTCACCATTACAGTGTCATACAGAATAGTTTCACTGCCCCTGTGTTTCAACTATTAATCCCTCTCCCCTTTCCAATACTGTCTCTATATTTTTGCCTTTTCCAGAATAGAATCACAGAGCATGTAGATTTTTCACACTGTATTTTTGATGCATTCACAGTAAGTTGCAGACATCCATACACTTGGCCCCTAACACTTCAGTGTGCATATCATTAAGTAGAGAAAATTATTGTTAATTTTTCAGGTAAAATTTTCATATAGTGAAATGAATAAAGCTAAGTGTACCATTCAATGAGTTTGACACATGCATATATCTGTGCAACCCTACCCCTTACCATCACCCCAGAAAGTTCTTTCATGCCTCTTCCCAATCAATCCCAAGCCCGCTCCCTCAGAGGCAACCACTCTTCTGATTCTTTTCCACTACAGGTTAATGTTGCCTGTTCTTGAATTCCTCTGAGTACTCTTTGTGTAAGCCTTCTTTTTTATTCAGCATAATATTTTTGAGATTCATCCATGTTGTGTGTATCAATAGTTCACTACTTTTTATTGCTGAGTAGTGTTTCATTGAATGAATATACCTGTGTAGGCAGAATTCTAAGATGTCCCCCAAGATTCCTGCTTCCTGGTGCACATGGCCTGTACAATCCCCAATTCTGTGAATACGATGGGATAGCACTCCCATGATTAGGTTATGTCATATAGCACAGGGGTCCCCAGCCCCCAGGCCACGAACTGGTACCAGTCTGTGGCCTGTTAGCAACTGGGCCACACAGCAGGAGGTGAGAGGCAGGTGAGGGAGCGAAGCTTCATCTGTATTTACAGCCACTCCCCATCACTCGCATTACTGCCTGAGCTCTGCCTTCTGTCAGATCAGCGGTGGCATTAGATTCTCATAGGAGTGCGAACCTTACTGTGAACTGTGCATGCGAGGGATCCAGGTTGCACGCTCCTTATGAGAATCTAATGCTGGATGATCTGAGGTGGAGCTGAGGTGGTGATGCCAGCGCTGGGGAGCGGCTGCAAATACAGATTATTATTAGCAGAGAGGTTTGACTGCACAGAAACCATAATAAATCAATGCGCTTGAATCATCCCCAAACCATCCTCCCTGCCTCCAGTCCGTGGAAAAATTGTCTTCCATGAAACCAGTCCCTGGTGTCAAGAAGTTGGGGACCACTTATATAGCACATTTGACTTTAAAAAAAATTTTTTTTTTTTCTGTTTTTTAATTAATTATTTTTTGGCTGCACTGGGTCTTTGTTGCTGGGCACGGGCTTTCTCTAGTTGCAGCGAGCAGGGGCTACTCTTCATTGTGGTGCTCGGGCTTCTCATTGTGGTGGCTTCTCTTGTTGTGGAACACAGGCTCTAGGTGCGCGGGCTTCAGTAGTTGTGGCACGTGGGCTCAGTAGTTGTGGCTCACAGGCTCTAGAGCGCAGGCTCGGTAGTTGTGGCACATGGGCTTCGTTGCTCCGCAGCATGTGGGATCTTCCCGCACCAGGGCTTGAACCCGCGTCCCCTGACTCGGCAGGCGGATTCTTAACCACTGTGCCACCAGGGAAGTCCCGCACATTTAACTTTTAGAAAGGGGGATTATCTGGGTGGATCTAACCTAATGACATGAACCGTTTACCTTTGGTTCAAGAGGTCTTAAACAGTGAAGTCAGAGAGATGTGAAGCATGAGAGACACTCAACAGGAGGATGATTCTTCATTGCTGGATGGAGAGGCTACATTGCAAAGAATGTGGGTGACCTCTAGGAGTTGAGAGTGATTTCCAGCTGACAGCCAGTAAGAAAACAGGACCTTAGTCCTACAGCCACAAGGATCTGAAGTCAGCTAAGAACCTGAATAAACCTAAGAGTGGATTCTTCCTCAGAGCCCCCAGAAAGGAATGCAGCTCAACTGACACCCTGAGATCCAGAGCAGATGATAGTCCAGCCACGTTCTGAGTAGATGAGAACTGTGCCAGACTTTGAAATACAAACTTGTGAGCTGAAATGAACATTGTTTTCAGCTGCTAAGTTGTGGGGTTATTTGTTACACAGCAATAACAAACTAATATAATACCGCAGTTTGCTTAGCCATTCTCTTTTGATGGACATATGGGTTATTTCTAGTTTTAGACTATTATCAATCATGCTGCTATGAACATTTATGTACAAGACTTTTTTTGTGGTTATATGTTTTCATTTCTCTTGGGTCATAGGGTAGATGTGTATTTAGTTTTCTAAGAAACTGCCAGAGCTTTTCCTAAAGTAGTTGTGCCATTTTACACTCTCACCAATAATGTATGTGAACTCTGGTTGCTCCACATACTCTTGAAAGTCAAATAGTGTCAGTCTTTTTAATATTTTCCATCCTGGTGGGTGTATAATAGATTTAATTGCTTTTTTTTTCAGTTGGTTGACTGACACCTGGATTCACTGATGAAGTTAAATGAAATTGAGAATCCTTTGGTATAATGAAGAAGAAATAATTAAAACACTTAAGGAGATGAGAATGTTGGTTTATAAACCTCTCCTTCTAGGTTTACAAGTGTGATTCATCTACACCCAATTCCACCCCCTGAGAGGGCCCAGATGACATTCTCTTCACCAAGGTGTTGAGAAATACATTTGTGAGAGGGTGATGGCATCTTTGGAAAGTGCTGTAGCAACTGGTTTCTGCAGGCCAGTGATGCTGGAGGAAGACACTACAGATGGGACTAAAGAATATGGGTAGTTCACTAATATCCTAATTTGTAAAACCAAAGTCCTCTGGAACTGGCGAACAGAGGGTGAACTTAAGACAAGATAGTTATGATCTTTCACCCAATTTCCAGGCCTGGGTTAGTCCACAGACTTCGAGTACCTTGAATGAAGTGAAAGCAAGTACACTTATGGAAGATGTATATAAATATCTGTCTAGATATTCCTTGTAGATTTCCCTGATGGGACCTGTAGTCATTTCTCAGGGTAAATTATGGGTTGAATTATGTCTCCCAAAAAGATATGTTGAAGTCCTCACCCAGGTACCTTTGGAATAGGTGACCTTATTTGGAAATATGTTCTTTACAGATGTAATCAAGTTAAGATGAGGTCATATGGAATTAGTGTGGGCCCTAGTCCAATGACTGATGTCCTTATAAGAAGAGGGAATTTTGGACACACACACAGAGAACACCATGTGAGGATGGAGGCAGAGGTTGGAGTGATGCAACTGCAAGGTGATGCCAAGGTCTGCTGGTAACCACCAGAAGCTAGGAGAGAGGCATGGAATAGATGCCCCTCAAAGCCTCAGAAGGAACCAGCCGTGGCAACACTTTGACTTTGGACTTCTGTTCTCCAGAACCGCAAGAGAATAAACTTCTGTTGTTTTAAGTCCCCCAGTTTGTGGTACTTTGTTATGGCAGCCCTGGAAAATGAATAGAATAACTGTGATACTGGGATTGTTGACACTGGCTGTAATGCTAATTGGGGCTGTAGTTGGCACAGTGGTCCACCATTCAGAGTGGAGTCAAGTGATAAATTGACTTGATTCTAATCTACTTCAACATCAGTCCAGTCCTTAAACCCCTTTCCCCATGATTTCTCTAGTTCCAGAGTGTATAGACTAGGGATAGTAAGCAGTTGGCAGAATATGTCTCTCTAATACAGGGAATACAGCTATTATGGTTGAAAGGGCTAAGTGGAAGCCCTAGGGCTTCCTTCCTATCAAAATTATAAACAACAAATAATAACACATCACTGGGGGGAAATGCAAGACTTGGTAACCATCAAAGACCTGAAAATTCAGAGGTGGTGATTCCTGTTACTTACCCACTTAACTCACCTCTCTGGCTCATGATGAAGTCAGAAGAGCCTTGGAGAATGACAGTGGATTATCGAAAGGTTAAGACAGGTGATGACTCCAATTGTACTGCTGTTCCAGATATGGTTTCTTTACTAGAGCAAAACAATAGAGCCTCTGCCACCTATAATAAAGTTATTAACTTGTGAATGTTTTTTCTTTATTTCAATAGCAAAGAAGGCCAAAAGTAGTTTTGTTTAACCTGTCAAGGGCAGAAGTACATCTTCACCATTTTGCTTCAGGACCAAGTTAACTTTGCCTCTGGGCCACAATTTAGTCCACAGGGACTTTGATCACATTAGCATCCCATAAGACAACACATCGGTCCACTATGATTATGACAAAATGCTGATAAAACCTAAATAACAGGAAGTATCAGGTACCCTGCATGTCTTAGTGAGTTGGTGTTGTCAGTGTTTGGGATTTTAGTCATTCTAGTAAGTGTGTAGTGGTATCTCACCGTTTTACTTTGCAATTCTCTGATAACATATGATGTGGAACATTTTTTCATGTGCTTATTTGATATCTGTATATCATTTTGGTGAGGTGCTGTTCAGATCTTTTGCCTATTTTAAAATGAGGTTTTTTTTTATTGTTGAATATTAAGGGTTCTTTGTGTATGTTGAATACTAGTCAGATATGTGTTTTGCAAATATTTTCTCCCAGGCTGTGGCTTGTTCTTCCATTCTCTTAACAGTGTCTTTTGCAGAACAGAAGTTTCTAATTTTAATCAAGTCCTACTTATCTGCTTTTTCTTTCATGGATCTTGCTTTTGGTGTTATATCTAAACAGCTATTTGGGAGTTCCCTGGTGGTCCGGTGGTTAGGACTCGGCACTTTCACTGCCGGGGCCCAGGTTCAATCCCTGGTCAGAAAACTAAGATCCCACAAGCCCTGCAGCATGGCCAAAAACAGACAAACAGCCATTGCCAAACCCAAGATCACCTCAGTTTTCTCCTATGTTATCTTCTACGAGTTTTATAGTTTTGCATTTTACATTTAGGTCTATGACCCACTAACATGTGTATTTTATTATTATTATTTTAAATTAATTAATTAATTTTTGGCTGTGTTGGGTCTTCGTTGCTGTGTGTGGGCTTTCTCTAGTTGTGGCGAGTGGGGGCTACTCTTCATTGTGGTGCGTGGGCTTCTCATTGTGGTGGCTTCTCTTGTTGTGGAGCACGGGCTCTAGGCGCGCGGGCTTCAGTAGTTGTGGCACGCGGGCTCAGTAGTCGCGGCTCACGGGCTCTAGAGCGCAGGCTCAGTAGTTGTGGTGCACGGGCTTAGTTGCTCTGCAGCATGTGGGATCTTCCCGGACCAGGACTCGAACCCGTGTCTCCTGCACTGGCAGGTGGATTCTTAACCACTGCACCACCAGGGAAGTCCCTACGTGTGTATTTTAAATAATATTTTATCAAAAAGAAACAAATAAAAAGAGAAAAATTTTAAATCAAATTAAAAGTACAGAATTTAAAAACAATCAAGACATAATGAAAAACATCAGTCCTCTTCTCTCCCCACTTTTATTCTCAGAACCCAGAACCTACTCTCTAAACCATTCTAGCTGTTTCTTTTGGTATTTATCTCCATACATTTAGATAAATCATAATTTTAGGTAACATTTACAATGTGTCAGGCTCTATCCTAAGTGCTTTGCATGCATTGTCTAATCCTCTCAATCACCTTATATTGTAGGCACTATTTCTATTCCTATTTTAGAGATGAGAAAAATCGAGTCACAGAGGGATCAAGTAATTATGTAAAGTCACATTGTTAGCAAGTGGCAGAGCTGGGATTTAATCTCAGGCAGTGTGTTCTTCCAGTATAATGTTTACCCTGTGATTTCTTGATTGACTGATTTTAGACTCCTGGCTTCCTAATATGAATAATTATAACTCACACCACCCAAGGCCCCGTCGTGTCTCTATTATCCCAATATTCCACATTTCATTGATCTAAGACATCACTGATTGTAAACCACACCTCTGTATACCGCTAAAAAAGAAAAAAATAACCAAAATAACCACAATGCTTTCTTATCCCTTAGCATTTTTATATTTATTGAAATAGATCCTTTATACTTTAGATGTATAATTTATTATATACTTTGGTGCTTGCAAGCAATAAAAAGAAAAATATAAGGGACTTCCCTGGCTGTCCAGTGGTTAAGACTCTGCACTTCCACTGCAAGGGGCACGGGTTCGATCCCTGGCTGGAGAGCTAAGATCCCGCATGCAGTGCTGAGCGGCCAAAAAATTCAAAAGAAAGAAAAAGAAAAAGAAAAATATAAGCAAATAAGTTGGTTTAAGTATTTCTGAAACTTCTTTATATTCAGAGTCCCATTTTTTGAATCATTTTTTGCCTCAAAGATGTCAATGCCCACATTTAATTAATTTAAACACAATATCATACTCTGAAACTTCAAAAGTATTGGTGATACAGCATTTTAAAAAAGAGGGATATGATCTGCAATCATGAATAGAATTTTCTTCCAAACCATTGATATTTATTCTGCAAGTTTTGATACTGGCATTTTCTTGTTTTTTCCAGAAAGTATAAATGAAAACTTCTTAAACAAAACCTGGACTTTTATTCATTCCTCAAATGACACTTAAATGGTTTGTGGACTGAAATCTCCAGGAGTGGCAGTTATCCAGTCATGCCACTAGAAATAGCAATCATGTTTGCACATGGCAGTTGCATCTATGTCACAACCATTGCCTGGCTGACGATGATTGTGATGGATCTTGATTTCAGATTTTCAGATTCCAGTTTTTTTTTTTTTTTTTGGCTGTGTTGGGTCTTCGTTTTTTGTTTTGTTTTGTTTTGTTTTGTTTTTGTGGTACGCAGGCCTCTCACTGCTGTGGCCTCTCCCGCTGCAGAGCACAGGCTCCGGAGGCGCAGGCTCAGCGGCCATGGCTTACGGGCCCAGCCGCTCCGCGGCATGTGGGATCTTCCCGGATCGGGGCACGAACCCGCGTCCCCTACATCAGCAGGCGGACTCTCAACCACTGCGCCACCAGGGAAGCCCGGGTCTTCGTTTTTGCACGTGGGCTTTCTCTAGTTGCGTCGAGTGGGGGCTACTCTTCTTTGTAGTGCACGGGCTTCTCATTGTGGTGGCTTCTCTTTTGCAGAACACGGGCTCTAGGTGAGTGGGCTTCAGTAGTTGTGGTGCGTGGGCTCAGCAGTTGTGGCTCATGGTCTAGAGTGCAGGCTCAGTAGTTGTGGCGCACGGGCTTGGTTGCTCCGTGGCATGTGGGATCTTCCCGGACCAGGGCTCGCACCCGTGTCCCCTGCCTTGCCAGGCGGATTCTTAACCACTGTGCCACCAGGGAAGTCCTTAAATTAATTTCCTTGTATGAATTTTCATAGAAGTAATAATTTCCTATTTTTCATTTGCTTAGTTTCCTAAGCCTCTATCACAGTCACTCTCCTAAGGAACTGTAAAATTCTTGGAGATAGTCTTTTCCACACAGTCGGATATATCAAGTCTTCTATCAGCCCCATATTTTTTTTCCTGGAGACATCTTTCCTGGAGTTTTCTGGGGTAGATTGGATTATTGTTCCCAGTGCTTCACTTCTTTCCAGTTAAGAGAATTATACACCCCTGATTTTTGCCATGTGACTTTGCAGTATCTCTCCCTAGAGTAGGGGGAGTATATTTTCCTGTCCCACTGATGTTGAGCATGGCCCCGTGACCTGCTTTGGATCAAGAATTTTAACAGACGTGAGAGGAAAAGAGATTTCAATGTGCTTGTGTAATCTGGCTTGCTTCTTGAGCCTCTGCAATCCACCGTGAAAAGGACATGGCTTGGATAGCTGTTGGTTCAAGGAGAACGAGAAAACATGGGGAGAAGACCTGAACTGAAACCTCAGTCTAGAGGCAAGCCCAGATGACTGCAGCTGTACTGATTGAACTCTAGCCAGTATGCAGACCCACGAACATGAAAAATATTGTTGTAAGCTCCCGAGGTTTTGAGATTTTCTTTTATTACACAGAAAATACTGACTAATATACCTTCTGTCCTCCTTCATGAATCTGGACTAGCTATTGCTCTATAGAGCTATTGTCCTGGGATATGCCTTTGCGTATCTATTGGGCCAGATACCCCATTTATTGAATTCTGTGACTTTCTTTTTCTTGATTTCCTTGTTTTAAAGGAGCACATCCTCAAGTAGCTACCTGAGAATGGGTGCAAGATAGGAATATCTTTTGAGACCCATGCATATCTGAACACATTTATTGGGCCATTACATTTGATTAATAATTTGGCTAGGTTTGTATTTCTAGGTTGAAAATAATTTTCTCTCATAATTTCACCATTTTCTTTCAGCTTCCTATGTTGCTTTTGAGGGATATCATTACGACTCCTTATTCTTTGTACATGACTTTAGTTTTCCTTTGGAAGCTTTTAGAATCTTCTTTACGTCCTGAGGGTTTTGATATTTCAATATGATATGACTGGGTAGGAATCTGCTTTCAACCAATGGGCATTTGGTGGGTCCTTTCAGTCTGAAAAATTCATGTCCTTTAGCGATGGAAAATTTCTTCTATACTAATTATTTGGTAATATTTTCTGCCTCACTTCTTTTTTTTTTTTTTTTCTGGCTGCATGGCTTGCAGGATCTCAGTTCCCTGACCAGGGATTGAACCCGGGCCCTCAGCAGTGAAAGCGTGGAGTCCTAACCACTGGACCACACGGAGTTACCTCTTCTTTCTTTTAAAAACCCCTACTAGGTGGATGTTGGGCATTCTTAATTGATTTTTCTAACTTTATCTGGTCTCTCACATTTTTCATTTCTTTTTGTTTTACTTCTTGGGAGATTTTCTCAAGTTTATCTTCCAATTATTTTATGGATTAAAAAAATTAACTACCATATCTTAAAATTCTAAAAGTTATTCTCTTCTGTTATTACTTTTTTTAATATAAATTTATTTAATTTATTTATCTTTGGCTGCGTTGGGTCTTCGTTGCTGCGTGCAGGCTTTCTCTGGTTGTGGCGAGCGGGGGCTACTCTTCGTTGCGGTGCACAGGCTTCTCATTGTGGTGGCTTCTCTTGTTGTGGAGCATGGGCTCTAGGCATGTGGGCTCAGTAGTTGTGGCTTGAGGGCTCTAGAGTGCGCGG